GACTCTCTAAATGAATGCTAGTGATGAACTGTCTGCAAGGAATATAAATCCTTCCATTCTCCACCATCCAATCAGAGCCAAAGAAGCTTCTTGGATGAGAAGTGAAAGGTCTTCAAAGAAAAAGAAAAAAAGGCCAGTTGCTTCTTTAAAAAGCACCTTTGAAACAATCTGGATGACTACGAACCTCCATAGACACAATAACATTTTTATTTGAGACTGTTCAGAAATGGTTCTGATTACTTTTGCCTGACAAAAATACAGTATAGTGATTATAATTATTATTAAAATTTAGACCTAGGTTTCAAGGTCTCAAATGTCATATATTTGCAGTTGACCTGTGTGTGTGTGTGTGTGAGTGAGTGAGGGAGAGGGAGAGAGAGAGAGAGATGCAGTATTATACATTTGTGGGTGTTTAAATGAAGTGAGTGTTGGTGGATTTTGTTTAAACCAAATGTGCCTATTATAGGGCTTTATTTGTTGTCTATTTCTCAAATCAGTAAAAATGAACAAGAAAATATGGAACCTTTGTGTATACTGTGGATTTTTTTATTGGCTCAAGAAAAATAAACTTAAAAGTGGTGCCTTAAATCTTGATTAATCTTTGTTTGCCAACAAAATGATGTTAATTTAAAATAATATCACAATAACCAGAGCAATTGTTCAGATCTCTATGTCGATTAGTGGTTGTCTTCATTTTATCCCCTACATATTATAAAAAATATACCTCACTGTTAAAATGGAATCAACTTAAGCTAAATAGCACGTTTTAGATTTTCCCTTAGATGATGATACTTCATATATGTACTGTCTTACCTTTATTATTTGATAGACTCAAGGTGGCAAATTAGCAGTATTGGGATCATGTCATATGTTCAGTGATCAGTATTTGGAAAAAGAAGAAAATACCAAAATCATGGTGAGTCATTGTTTAATCTTATGTCTTTTCAAATGAAAGATTGGTATTTTTTTCCCCTGAAGCTCAGTGTAACACATCATATTTCAACCAATGCAGGTAGAAAGGTTTGCTGCTTTATCCCTTCCTTCAGACCTTTATTTATTATGTGTTCATGCATGCAAGCATGGATTTATGAGACTTATATACTACTACAATCAAATATATTATATTTTTGGGTTGTTGGTTTTTTTATACACTGATGCTAAGCCAGCCAATGGGGAGAATGCATTTAATGCTGATACAATATTTTTCAGGCAATTCAAGAATTTTTAAACACATAATACTTGATTGCTGGACCAAACACTAATTCACTAATACAATAAAAAGTTTTAAAGCCCATTAAAGGTAATCAAACTTTCACAGAGATAAAGAAAATGAAGGAATTGAATTGTGGGGCCAGGTTTTTAATCATAGTTGTTTAAATGCTTTACAAATGTAAGAAATTTCTATGGTTTCTTAGGAAGTACTTTTCCAGTGGCTTACAACAAATGACATTCACTTAAATCAGATAGATGCAGAAGATCCAGAAGTAAGTATATACTATATGTCTATATATCGATGTACAGAACCTTTATTGCACAAACCATAAGTTGTTATAAAATACTATAAAAATTAAACAAATTTATGAGGCATCATGTAATGGAAATGAGAGACCACTTTTGTCACAAACAGAAATAAATTTGAAGAAGCAATATATAATTGTTTTCAGATAAATATTTAGAATTTAAAATTAGTTTAAAAAATTAGTGCAATATGTCATACTTACATGTGATTTTTCTTTTTAGTGTAATTCTAAGCCTTAAAGAAATTAAGGCTATAGATGTAATGAATAAATTTCAGGTAAAAATATAATTCCTACCGGTAAATTAAAGGATGATATCAAAGGCTAATTAAAAAAAAACATAATAGGTATAGGTGATCAGCTGGACAAATGCCTACATTTACCTCTAACCAAAATTATTTAAAATAAATTATCAGCAGAATCAAAAAGGAGGCTGTAAAAACTACTTAAAGGCATATTGAGGCATATTGTGCAGACCGTAGAATACCACTTAGCAACATTCTGTGAGACAGAGTTAGGCTGAACTGATAATAACAGCTGGAGGATTGAATGGAAATAACAACTCCTGCCGAGCTTTATCCTAGTAGAAGTAATACAAAACAACATGATTCAGCATGTGAATTGTTCCTCCACTGCAGAAGTACAATTTACCCTCAAGCTGAACATGTCAATATCTCCACTCAGTAACATTGGTGGGAGCACATTAACTTTGATCAAAGAAAACCTCTCCTGAATGTAGGTTTATTACTTGGTTGAAGTATTTTACTGGGGAGAATAGATGAGTAGATTTACTTGGAAACATAGACAAGATTGATAGGTCAATTTGTATGTTAAATCCAGAGGAGTCTATTTAAGAGTGGATAGTACTTACTCAGAGCCCTTGGGAAATCAAAGAATTTTAGTTTCTCATAGAATACCTGGTTCCAAAAAGAATTAAAGTTCTCAATCTGTTTTAGAGAAGCTAGACCAATAGGAAAGAAGAATAACTGAAGCCGGTCAGAAAATATCCAAGTCAGTGCTTCAGTAATATGCCATTGAACTGATTTTACTGTATTAGATTAGATTAGTTGGGAAGGTGGTCCTTTGAAATTGGTTTGTTGTTGTTGTTGTTGTTAGTTACAAAGTTGTGTCTGACCCATCGCGACCCCATGGACAGGCCTTCCTATCCTCTACCATCCTCTGGAATCCATTTAAGACTCCATCCAGCCACCTCATTCTCTGTCGTCCCATTCTTCTTTTGCCTTCAATCTTTCCAAGCATTAGGCTCTTCTCCAGTGAATCCTTCCTTGTATTGTACCCTTTTTGAGAAGAATGACCTCAATTGACCCATCTGAGCTCTAAAGAGAAATTCAGCATGGACCTTGTCCAGAAAAAACTTTGAGCACAACAGTTGCAAATTGAATTTCTTTGAAGAAAAAAAAATCCTTTGAAGAATTCCTAGGGGGGGGGAGCCGATTTAAGGCTGATTTTGTGGATTTCAAGGTAAAGATAAAGGTTCCCCTTGCACATATGTGCTAGTCATTCTCGACTCTAGGGGGTGGTGCTCATCTCCGTTTCTAAGCCGAAGAGCCAATGCTGTCCGAAGGTCCTGTGGCCAACATGACTAAATGCCAAAGGCGCACAGAACGCTGTTACCTTCCCACCAAAGGTGGTTCTTATTTTTCTACTTCCATTTTTACATACTTTCGAACTGCTAGGTTGGCAGAAGCATGTGCATTAAGGATAACATAATTGGCATGGGGTTGCTTCAGTACTTGAATGACTTAACAAGTTCTATTGGATGATTTTTAATTACAAAAACCATAACTTTTGTTTTAAAATAGTTGATTTCAGACATTTGTCCTCAGCAAAAGTTGGCAACATATTGTTCATAGAGGTCATTTCTTTTCTGGTATAATTCTAAATCTTTAAAATATAGTTGCATCAATTTTCATACATTATGTGTTATTGATATCAGCCTCCCTTAATGTTTTAACAAAAGGCTTTGTAAGTAACTTTGGGGTCCCGATATATCTACAAATTTAAACAATTACGAAGCAAATCTGATGAGATTATACAATCAGGGCAAATTGTCAGAAGACTACTAGAGCATGAACTACTTGTGCAAAAAATACATTTTCTCTCAATAAGAATTCATCTAAACATGTTTAAATTAAAATGTGCCAAGAATCTTGTGGGGTTTATTCCATGTAAGTTTCTAAATGGAAGTATTATCTTGTATTTTGTCATTATTCTATGACATAATGGTCTATTTTTTTTTCTGACCCACCTTTAGCCATACCACAAAGGGCAAAAATATGCCTCAAAATGAAATGTTTAATCACATATATGTCCTTTCCTATTTTTTTATACTTAAAATAGGACCACTACACAGGACATGTTTGATAGTTTTAAAACTTTTACAACTTGGAGATTCATGGCACTCCTTATTGAAATGTTATAATTACAATGACCAAAGTTTCAATATTTTGTTATGATCTTTGAACTAATTTAGATTACATTGAAAATATATTGTCAGATTCATAAAAGTATTTGGCCTGATTAATAACTTGTCACAATTTAAATTAAAAGTTTTATTTAAGCAAAATATATGATTGTGCTTTATTTCAGTGTTCAACGCTCCCCTTTCACTACCACTGTTCCAAGTTGGATTTCACAACAAAAAATAAAATAATTTTACAATCAGTGTTAACATGAGTATATTCTGACCAAAGTATTTTGTTATTTAAAGCAGTTTGTTGTTCAAAAGTTTTGAATTATGAGATGTATTTTCTTATAGTCTAAAGATGGAACAGATTGGTTTTGAATTCAGGTAGTCCTCAAATTACAATCATTTGTTTAGCAACCATTTGAAGGTACCTAGCACTGAAAAAAGTCACTTATAACCAGTCTTTCCACTTAGGACTGTTGCAGCATCCCCACAGTCATGTGATCAAAATTTGGGCGCTTGTCAACCAACATGTAGTTACAATGGTTGCGGTGTCCCAGAGCTATGCAATTTGTCATTTATAACCTTCCCAGCTACCTTTCAGCAAGCATAATCAGTGGGGAGTTTGGATTTACTTCATGACCCTGTGATTCAGTAAAGAACTGCAGGTGATTAAGATCCGTGGGAAAAAATATTGTAGACTTGGGTGTCCTTTACTTAACAACTGTCTTGCTTAACAACAGAAATTCTGGTCCCAATTGTGCCTGTAAGTCTAAGATTACTTGCATACTGCTAAATTTAGCATCTTGACTAGAAATTAAAATAGACTTATTTTATATTTATATATCTTAATTGTATATTAGATATGTAAATATATTAACACCCATTTTTTAAAAATACCAGCTGCTACTTTGCTTTATTTTTTCCAGATTTCTGATTATACAATGCTTCCTGATATAGCCACTTTGTCAGAACGTTTACGAGTTTGTCTGCAAGAGGGAGATGAGAATCCACGAGACTTTACAACACTGTTTGATATGTCTATTTACCAACTAGATACTACAGCACTTCCGAAAATTATTAAGTCAGCATCTGAGTGTTTTTGTTATTCTTACAATAATAGCTTATTTTTAAAAAATATAATAACAAATTGGATTTAAATATTGCATGCATTGGCATATAAATCTACAATGTATATATATAATTATGATCTATTTTGGATAGGTGGCAATGATATATAAAAAACACTTAAGAAAGCAAATAAATAAGCCATTAATGGACTTCTATGTATGCACCAGAATGTTTTAAAGTTATAAGAGTTGAGCTACATCAACCCAGATCCAGAAAGAAGAGCAAATAGTAATAGGCTGTGGCCAGGAAAGTTTTTTTTTCTCTTCTGTGCAGAAAATTGTGTTTCCCAGTGGAATTGTGAGAAGAGTACTGGATTTATGGTTGTTGTTCTTGCTGTGCTACTTGTTGTGCTTATATCTATGTTTTTTCAGTGCAACAAGAAACACAGCAATCTCCTTTGTTTATACATCTGCCTAAGAATTAGTTGTACCTTTTTTCAAAACCAAAACTTCTCATTAGCCTGTTTCTTGATACCAGTTTTATTCTAAGAGTTATCATTTCTGGACTATGCCCTTAATATATAACATCCTTTTCCATATTGACCAATAGCACTTCATTGCTCAAGTTCTATCTAACTTTCTATTTTTGCATCGGAATTTTTTGAATTTTAGATTTTGATGCAAAAATAGAATGCTTTCTATGGGTAAAAATATTAACATTATGTGAAGTCCACAAGGTTAATTGGAATATAGTCCTAATCAGAGTTCTTTTAAAGTTGCCCCATGCAGTTTTGTAGAACTTACTTCCTAACAATTGTGTTTAGGAGTATACTTAATATTATATTCTTAATTAGCAATTTGATGTTTTACATTTATTATCAGATTATGTAATCTAGCTGTATTTTACAGGTCTTATGAACAGCTGAATGTGAAATATGAACCACTTCAGCTAATTCAGCCACAGTTTGAAACACCTTTACCTGCACTCCAGCCAGCAGTGAGTAACAGTGTCATTTGTTGTTGCTACAATAAAATAATTGTATAAGGAAAATAAGTATTTTCATTCTGGATATAAGATTTGATCCATTAGCAAAAAAATAGCCAGAATACATCAGTTAAATTAAGAGGTGAGTATTACAAAAGATGGATAGGAGGCACATTATAAGACACTGGAATACCCATGAATCAAGTGTTTGAGGGAAAGGCTAAAAATTCAGATAAAGGCTAACAGAAATAGAGATTTTGAGTAGGTTATAAATAATTACTAAATAATTACTTATTAATTACTTTCTTGTGGATATTAAAATGCTTTGATTAGTATCCTACACCAATATTCCTTTTTTAAAAAAATAAATAAGGACAAATCAGACATTTTTGTTTCATCTTTTTGCTTATTAGGTTTTTCCACCAGCTTTCAGAGAGTTGCCTCCTCCCAGCCTGGATTTGTTTGATTTGGATGAAACTTTTTCTTCTGAGAAAGCTCGTCTCGCCCAAATAACAAACAAGTGTGAGTAGTTCAAACATTTGTGGTGAGTTTGCTAAGTTAATTTGCAGAATGGTTGAGTACTTCAACAACTTGAATTCTCCACAATGAGGCATGATTTCAAACTAAGGTTCGGCAAATTTGCATCTATAATTTTCTGTTATTTTCTCTAGAAGTGTTAATTTATAAATAGTGAATATAGGGTGTGGGAGGTGTTACACAAATATATCCAAATAACGATTTCTCCATGTATGGGTTTGTGGTAGAAGTAATTTTGACCGGTTATTTTAACTGTTTATTTTAGGGATTCTATATTTTAGGATTGGTATATTTGATACAAAAAGTCCATTTTGAAAATTTTGCAATTGTGGAAGAAAGCATGAGGAACAAAGCCATAAATTCTTGATCAGGAGAGGAGACTTTCCCACAAACGTAGACATAGAAATTCTGTTGTTTACTTTTGGAGGAGGAGTGTCAAACTCATGTCATCACAGCAGCATCACGTGATGTATCGGGACTTTCCCCCCCTTTTCTAAAATGGGCATGGGCGTGGCCAGCACGAGCTAGGAGAGTGACAACCCTGTTTTAGAGAGATCAGTAGAGTTGTTAGACCACTTTGGGTTTTTAAGATGTTCAGAAGTATTGTAGCTAGACTACCTATTCAAGATAAATGTGAAATATTGGCAGGTTGTACATCTGTTATTGTATTCATTTGGCCTTTGGTTTAAAGTACCCTTTTTTAAATTTAGTCCTTAGTTTTAAATCTCTAGCAAAGTGATTTCTAATTCACATAATTTCTTAACATCTATTAAGACTTCATTTTAATTCATTTTTAAATGTAACTGTATCTGTACTATAATTCCCATGATTTTTTAAAATGGAATTATTTTTATAAACTAAATCTGGTTTTGATAGTAAATTATATTTGGTTATGAATTGCTTTTAAAATATGAAAATAAACTGGATTTATGAGACACTAAATGCCTAAATGACTATAGAATAGTGGGACAATATTTCTGTGATAATAGAAAAATCTGTATAATAAAGATAGATTATTGATATTCAGAGAAAACTCATATAAAGTTATAGAAATATATGATTAGTGTTATAAACAAAATAAATAACATTATCCAGTGGGTGTTAGAAACAGAGATCGTCTATTATATGTGGAATTGCCTATTATTACTTGCATGTAATGAATACAACTAAAGAAAATATATTTCATTATGGCATTCCATTAGATCCTCTGGTTTATTTTTCAATTGTACAAATTAATTTGTTCAGCAAACATAAGCAATGTTTTAAAAATAGTTTTCTATGCAAAATATGAAATATTGTTGATGTTGCTGTCAGTAAGATAATAGTTACAAAATATGTAATAATTTGTCATTATAGCAGAGTCCATAATTTATAAGAGAGTGGCTGAAAATAGATGAAATATATAATTATTTAAGTTTTATTGAATTTTATAAAACTTATTTCAGAATGCCTTTCTGCCAAAGTTCAATAGCAATTTCAGCTTACCGATTATTTCTATTATTGCTTATAAGTAGGCCTGTTGCTCAAAGCAACAAATGTGTGAACATTGAATAGAATGACAGATAACACTTAATGTTTTACATGAGCCAGTTGCCGTTAACTATCTCTTCCACATACAATTATGGCAATGTTTTTTATCAATTATAAAAACAGATGTTTCAAATGACTTTATGCTCTTTAGAAGATAAGGCATTATAAATTATTTACAGAAATAGATACCATGGCTCCATATAAAATTTGCATCTATTTATAGTAATACTTCTTTGTATTTTATTAGGTACTGAAGATGATCTGGAATTCTATGTCAGAAAATGTGGCGATATCCTAGGGGTAACAAATAAACTGCCAAAGGAACAGCAAGATGCCAAGCATATACTGGAGCATATTTTCTTTCAAGTGGTGGAGTTCAAGAAGCTAAATCAAGTAATTATTTAACATTTTTCTTCTAGCCATATATAATGGTTTTACAGGTGGTCCTCATTTAACGACTACTCTTCAGCAACCATTCAAATGTGATTGTGCTAAATGTGTAGTAGTTATCACTAATCCTTGTACTTATAGCTGTCATGTCCCTGTGGTCACATGATCGCAATGTTGGCACCTGGCTTACAGTTATGACTTTAAAGCATCTCATGGTCATAGTAACCAACAATTCTGGTTACTCAGAATATTCTATGTACATTGATTTGACTAGGGAATATTCAGAATTTGAGGCAGTACAGTACAGAAAAAAAAAGTTAGGTAGTTGATAGGATGATCTGAGTTGCTGATGAAGTATCTCTAAATATTCTTGTTTACTAAAGTCAATTTCGGATAATAAAAATATTTTCCAATGATACCTTTGAATTTTAAAAGCTAGGAATGGAGAGTCCATGATGATGTATGATGTACTTTAATATTTTTTTCTCTTCTGAAAGGAAAATGATATTGATACAAGTGAAGTTGGATTCCAGGGTGGTTTCTGAAAAATCCGAAGTATAAACCATGTGTCTTTTTTGGAAGAAGAGGAATCATAATTTATTGAACAAGCACATGACAAGTGACTGTTATCTGCCAATTTTCTATATATACACTATGTTGTAAATATGAAGATAATCTAAAATTTTGAATGAGAAACTGTATTAAGTGGCAGTAATTTTGATTTATATACATATATATATATAAATATTGTATATTTAATGTGTTTTTTAAATAAATCATTTGTACAATTTGAAATTCTTGTTTGATTAGTTTGTTCTCTAAAGATTTTTTTGAGCAATTTAAATATGTATAATAGCTAGGGATATGTATAATAGTGATTAGTTATTGCAAGACATGAAACATAGATGGAATTCCATGAATTAGGAGGTCTTAAAGGCCTCTCTTCACGTACAGTGTCGGATGAGGAAGTCGGTTCAGCAATTCATGATCAGAAAGGCCTTTAAGTAGAGATACATAGCTGAATTAAAATTTGTGTCTTGTGATGTTAAAAACAGATCAAGGATATTCTCATTTTGAGTTAGAATGTGAAGATCAGTTAAAATCTCAGGTTAACACAGTTTATGTGAAGTCAAGGAACTATCTGATATTTTTGTATTGTTGATAGAAAAATGTGCAATTGAGTTATACCAAGCTTTTTAAAAGCAGAAGAGTAAGCAATTAATGTGGCCAATTTCTCAGCACAACAGATAATATTAAAATTCAGCACTGACTTTGATAGTGGAAGTAACTGGTTTAATCTCAGAGGAAAGAAATAAAACTGATTTCCACGCATAATAAGCAGTGCTTTTGTGTTATTTGGTAACTTTATTTATTGGAACAAGATATAGTCTTTTAATTCCATTTATTCCTGCTCAGCCTTCTGTAACAACTTATTTCAAGGATTGGAAACTCATACTACTGACAGGTGGACAAGCAGGGGAAAAAACTTTGGACAAAGATCTGCATTCTGCTTCCTGCAAAAGTCAGGTTTTGGTTTAGATTTCCAGCAAGCATAAAGAACCCATTTCACTTTGTACACTGTAAACAAATCCTGTTTTGTCACTGTCATCTGGTGATCCATGTTGCTGAAAGTATAGGAAAAAAGAGGAACCTGTTATAACTGCCCTACTACTGGGCTAATCCAATTTAACAATTAGATCTTTGTGGATTTAAGAGTCTATTTTAATTCAATGGATTACAAGGTAAACATTGATGCCCCTTGTACTTTTATTTTTCTCTACATAGTAGCCCTTTCCGCCCATAAAGAACCTCATCTGAACTGCCTAATGGCCTAGAAACTCTGGAGTCTCAGAAAACATTTAGTTTGCTACCCCTTTAGCAGTAATTGAATTCATACAATGTGAATCATAATTTATTCATTAACCCACAATGAGATCTGTGTATTGTGCCAAGTATATATATGATCTGACTCAACATATTCCTTTAACTTAAAAGTCTTTTTGGATTGCTTGCTAATAATCAGGATGAAGTCAGTTCAGAGACTGAGAATTATTTGTTGCAATAAAATTGTTGCTCCAAAAGCCATAACTGAAATAAGCCCAGTTATAAATAGGAGCAGCTGTTATTCACAGCTGAGATTCCTGGATTTAGTTCTAGTGATTCCTAAGAGTGAAAGTAGGGACTAAATGTACTGGCATCTCAACCCAGTTTGGAATAGCAAAATATTCACATTTCAACCAACAATCCCAAGACCAACCCCCACAAGGACTTGACAACAGATTAATACTAATACATATAAAGTAATATTTCATCTGATTAAGACTGAAGCTATTTTTATAGCAATGTTTTCCATAGCTCATTGCTCATATTTCAGCTCTTCTCTTCAACTATAGTGGAAGACGACAGTGGTATGCACAGAGAATGGCAAAAAAGCTATATTGTATAGTTGATTTGCATTTTTCAATAAATCTAGCTTTCATTTCTAAATGTGGGTGTTGAGTTACTAAATTATTTGCTCTCATGCACAGATCCTTAAATGTAAAAGGATGAAGTCACTTTCACTTAATGTCTTTTTAGCACAACATCTTATCCAAATAATAGTTTTTTGGGGGGGCTCACTTGTCAGCAGAAAGAACGGCAAGAAAAGCATCAGCTGACTTCATTGATAGATCAGGTGGCATAGCAAAATGTGACCTTTCCAGAGATGGTGTATCTGTTTTTATACAACCCGGGGAGCCAGTATCTTCTAAGCTTGCTTCAAGTGACAGAGAATTATCCACAGTGGCTTGTATTCCAGAAATCTCCCATATTGGTGGCTGTAGTGGCTTCTTGAAGACCACATCATCACTCATTTCAGAACTTTTTAATATCATGTGTTCATTTAGTACAGAGGCCTTGTCTTCTCTGCATGGTGTAGATGACTTAGTATCATGGTATGCATTCACTAAGGAATTTGCTTTGCTGGTATTAGCAGAATTAGACAAGTCAAAGACAGATGGTTGGAATGGGGTTTTACAAAAAGATGTCCCACTGTCATATGAAGTTTGCAGGTCTCCTTTCATACTACCTGAAGAAGATTCTGTATCCTTGACATTTAGAGTAGTCCCTTTATTATCCCAGTCTTCTGATTTGGGAGCACGATTCATGTCCAGAAATAAGCTGCTACCTGGAGACTTGCTATTGTGGGAATCACTCATCAGAAATCCATTGTCTAATATGTCTTTCAGGGACAAAGTACTAGGACTGCTTTGAGAAGACATCTAGTTCAGAATCCTAGTAGTACCTGATAACAAAGATAACCATATTAATAGTCAACATTGATAAGGAGTTTTCAAATTTAATTTTTTTCTGTGCTGGTCACTGAAAAAGTTCTTCTAGATTTTAAGCCTGCCAAGTCCAACTTTATTTGAAGGAGATATGGCAGCCAAATTGGGAAGAGAAGTGACAAATTATCTTTTCCATTATTGTAGGAATTGTAGTTTTGTGATTCAAGAGCCAACCAACTCTAGAACCAATTTTGTTGTTCTAAGCAATGCAAATCCTAGTATTTTAAAAATTGTTAGCATAGGTATAAGAATCATTTTTCAGCCGTTCATATGAATTAGACTGTAGCCAAGACACTATTTAACGCCATAAAGAGTAGTTTTTGACAATAGTGTTTAGCAAAGTATAAAGGGATAATCCCCTTCTCTGAAAAAAAGTTTGCAAACTAAAATTTAAAATACAGGAGACAGTATATATCATACTTGGTTGAAAGTAAGATTGTCTTAAATTTAAAGTAACATTCCTCATAAAAAGGGCGTTGGTACTTACCTGATACGCCTCTTCTCATAGTGGGGGGAGGAGTATCCAGAATGGGTTGACCTTATCCTCTCGTGATTGGTTTGAGTCAGATAAGCTCTTTGGGCTCTGCCCCCTGGAAGTGAGCCTGCCCAGTTTTCTGACTCAAAACGATCGTGAGAAGTTGCTCATTCGAGAGCTCCATGAATTTACTAGGATCTAAAGGAAAATTCATTTGGACCAGGGCAGCAGAAGGAAGGGCAAAAGCCTCTAGCAGGCAGCCCTAACCAGGAGGATGGGCAGAAGCCTCTAGCAGGCAGCCCTAACCAGGAGGACGGGCAGAAGCCTCTAGCAGGCAGCCCTAACAGCTGAGGCTTGTAAGAGCTGGAGATTTGACTCACCCCAATCAAGGGAAAGGTTGCACCTCTCCAGACCTCCAGTAATTTTCAAAGGATTAAAGAAAATAAACTTGGACCCGGCGAACCCTGCCTCCCTTCATCGCAGCCTCCTCCTGCAACGACCGGATTGCCACAAGCCCTCTGGGGCGGCACGCTGCCCTGGCCATTGAGTGAGGTGGAGTCACTCTGTGAGGACTGTTGCCGGGCAAGCAGGAGAACCGGGCACACATGCCTCCCATAGGCAGCCCTTGATGAGAGGCTTCTCAGGAGCAGAAGCGNGACTCTCCTGAGCAGCGCCCTGGAAAAGGACCATTGACTTACCTGAAAGGTTGTTTTCAGGGTGCTGCGAAGGAGAGTCCACTCCGCCCTGGGGTCTGGCTCCGCTGTTATCGCGTTTGTTTCCTTGGATGTTCCAGTTGGACTTGTTCCAGTTGTGTTTCTTGTTGATCCAATGTTGGACTTCTCAGCGCGCAACAGTTCCATGTCTTCATTGAAAAATCTGAGGATAATCAGCACCAGAGGTGTGGCTTAAAGTTTCAATTCAGCTCTCGGCAGTTTGGCTGTATTTAACCCTTGCTTGGACTCTCCTTCGCAGTGCCCTGAAAATGACCCTTCAGGTAAGTCAATGGTCTATCCAGGTCAGTGGCTTCCCCAGAGACTGCCTGAGGGGTGGGAAGGTTAAATATAAGAGCAAGCACTTCTCCCCCAGGGCAGATCCGGAGGAAGGGGGGTTCACAACCCTTCCAAGCCTTCCAAGTATGAGAGGAGAAGGCACAAGACTTTAGAGAGGCTCTGCAAGAAGGCTGGCAGCCATCAGGTCACCCCAGGCAAAGGGGGGAAAATTCCAGGCACTCCCTTACCCAGTGGAGTCACAGTGGAGAATCCAGCCATGCCAGCAAGAATCCCTATAGACACATCAGGACTTTGGGGCTCTAATCAGGGGTGGCAATCCCCATCTGCTCCTGCTGTGGGGGCAGCCTTGCCTACTGGACTTCCCCACTTGGGCATTCCCTCTGCTCAGGGGGGCATGGTCCCCAGCTAGACACCCTCCACAGGGGCTCCCAACTTTCAGGAGCTGATGATGCAGGCATTACAGCAATGCAGGGCAGTGGCATTCCAACAGCCACAGCCACAGGGGGCTCCTCTCCCCCCCAGGGTTCCTGAATACCTAGAAGCCCAAGAGGAAGAGATCCCCAGCTCCTCAGCTTCATCCCAGGAGGACAGCAACATGGAAAGTGAGGAAGGCGAGATCAGGGAGGACAAGCTGTCAGAGGACGAAGGCATTTCTCCCCCTAAACCTACATTCACTGGATTGTTCCAGCCCTCACTGTTTGAGTCCCTGCTCTTCAAGGCCAAGGCAACAGTCAAGCTAGGCAGCAGAGCAGCAGAGGTTCCACCTCGAACGTCAGGGCTTCTCAGTGGAGAACATCTTCGATGAGCAGGCCATCGAGGCGGACACCGTCCTTACGCCCAGGCCTTTCCTCGACCTGGTAAGGCGCCATTGGGCATCTCCTACCACTGGTCCCTCACCCTCCTTTTCAGACAGGGTGTTCTTTAATGTGGACCAAGAGCTGGTTAAGCTGCTGGCGCAGCCCTCCATCGATGCTCCGGTTGTGGCTCTCCATACATCCACTAACATGCCTGGGGAGCCAGAGGATGCCTTGAAGTCGGAGGACAAGAAGGACCCCTCCTTCTTGTGAAGTCGGAGGACAAGAAGGACCCC